TTCAGTCTCTGAAGAGAAAGCAAGAAGGTGTCCTTGGGCAGCCTGTTTCTGCTGTAAATAACACAGTGAAGGCAGGGAGTTGGGCAGCCTGGAAATACTCCACCCAGAAATGTAATGGCTGGGGAGCAGAAGTCTGATATGGGTGCCCTGGCTGCATAGACAACTGGTGCCTCCCTATACAATCTAAAGGGAAGGACACGTGACTGCCCCATGTGTATCCCCTGTGCAGTGCCCCCCCTCCCTTGCATGCAACCTGGGTTCGCAGTGCTCTACCTGCAGGGATGTGGGGTTCACTTTCCTTATCTTACTGCACCTCCCCCCGCACATTTGGCCGCTTTCCCTGGAAGCTGGGTGCGGAGGGGAACAGAGCCGCTTCTGCTTGAGAGAGCCTGGCTGGGAGGCAGCAGTGGCCCGTTTCCTGGAGAGGGGGCGGAGCGGGGGTGGGAGGGGGCGGAGCGGGGGCGGAGCGGGGGTGGGGCCTTAGGGGAAGGGGCGGAGTGGGGACAAGACCTCAGTGCGGAGAGGGAGTGGAGCACCCCCAGGGAAAAGTAAAGTTAGCACCTATCCTTAGCCTATCCTGATTGAGGAGGTCACCCTGAACTGAAATGAACTCGCTAAGCCAGAGGCTCAAATGGCAGACACCTGTGAAAGTAAGAGGGGGTGGGGACAGGTGTCCCTGCCAGGAGGTGTGGGCTCTATCTCAGAGCCCCCGGCATGGCTTAGCCTGCCCCTCCCCATGGTTAAAAGATAGAGCTAAGTAGGGCTCCATTAGGAGTCTTTTGTTAAGTGCTCACTAGAGCTGAAATCACTTGTTGTGGGACAGCATTTCTGCCCAGCCTGCTTCAGCAATGAAGCGCCCCCCCCCCCTCCCCCGAGCTGACAATCACTGAGAGCTGGGAGGAACCTCAAGAGACTGACCTGCCAAGTCACATTAGAGAAGCAGGTGGCAGCAGGTGACGGCATGCAGTGCAGCTCCTGGTAGGGCAGCCATTGGAACAGCAGCTGGGGGGCAGTGGAATGGCGGCTGGCTAGCAGAGCAGTAACGCCTTAGTAAGTGCTCAAGCAAAGCACCTTCTTCCCCGGGAGGGAGGTGAACTCACACAGATGCACCTCTGAACTCTGGGCCCTCACTGACCAAGGACAACCACTGTTAGTGAGGTGTGGTGAGGGAGCACAGAGGGGCATGGTAAAGGAGCTTTTGGTTGTAGAACTCAGGAACCTGAAGCAAAAGAAACTGCCGCACTCGCTCTGGGGTGGATGTCTTGTTCACAGTTTTGTGATTATGAATCTTGCTTGCAGCATTTTCCTTAATTAATGTCGGGTGGCTTCTCTCCTTTCATAAAAGTTTCTTTTCTACACTCAGACTCTGTGCTTGTGAGAGGGGAAGTGTTGCCTCTTAGAGGTAGGGTGACTAGACAGCAAATGTGAAAAATCGGGACGGGGGTGGGGGGTAATAGGAGCCTATATAAGAAAAAGCCCCAAATATCGGGACTGTCCCTATAAAATCGGGACATCTGGTCACCCTACTTAGAGGTGCCCAGGGGTGGTGTGTAATGTTCCCAAGTTATTGGGTGGAGGCTCGAGCCAGTTCTGTGTTGGATTGTTGAAAAGGAACCACTAGATATTGAACCCGGCCCTGGTTGCTGCCGACTCCTTGTGGCAGAAGTTACACATACATTAGTTTATTTTGTATTTGGTTAGTGTCACTCTCTTGTGGGCAGGTGATGCATCAGATTCTGCAGTTTTTCACTGGTACTTTTTATACAGACCTAAATGTTTCTACTTCACAGCTTCTGACAGTATGCATAGCATTGTATGAATGAGATTTCAAGGGAAAATTTCTCATATTCCGATGGGCCACACATAGCTCAGGTGTTTCATCTTGTCCCAGAGAATGAACAATCAGCTTGTCCATGCTTTCATCAGGAACTTAATATCCATATCTGTGAAACATAACTTCATGTGCATCAATCAGTCTTCAAAACCATGTCTTCCTTACCAGATCTCCGTTGGCAAAATATACTTTCTTTGTATAGATCATAACTCCAGTCATCTTTTCTATCCTTTTGCCCTTCATCACTGTACAGGAACAGCTTTCCATTTTGGGGGTTAGGAGCTGGGAGAGTCTGTGATGGGACCCCTGGGGTACAACCTGGAAAAGGGGTATCGCTGTGCCCCCTTAACTCTCCAGCCTGGGCTGTCTCTCACAATGCTTTGCTAGTGACAACCAGCAAACCCCTTCATGTGCTGTTATCACTCAGCACACCAGCACGTGGAGCTGCACACCCAGCTAGATTGCAGGAATACCCCAAAGCCACTCAAAAATCACACAGAGAAAGGCACCAGCCAATTCCCCCCAGCTTTGCACACCACAGCTGTACTGTTCTGCCCTGGTCAAAAGGCTGACCAGGGTAATTTTATTACCCGGTCCACCCCTTCCTCCATGTGGAGAAGATATGCACAAACCTCTGTAAACTGAGTTGAGGTTTCCCAAGCACTTCAAGCAAAATACACTGTTTTAGGTAAAGTATAAAACAGATTTATAGAAGATAAATGCACAGTCTAAATCTTAAACCTTATTACACTAGGCAAAATCTTAAACCTTATTACACTAGGCAGTATTTAGAGCCACAATTTTCCTCACCCCACTGGATGTTACAGTTCATAATACACAGGCTTCCCTCTTTAACTTAGACCAATCTCCTTAGGTGAAGTTGTTGTCTTCTTAGCGTTCCTGTAGATTCCAGAGTAAGTGCGGGAGGAGAAAGGCCAAAACATGATGCTACCGTCCCTCAATTTATATTCTCAGTCTATGTGCCTAGCAGACACTTGCCCAGACATGTCCCGGTGAGCTTTGCTGAATCACAGTGAGCGAGTAAATCCCCATAGTGTGGGCTTGTGCAAGTGAGGCATAGAGTTGATTACTGGTCAGTTAACACCCACCTGGCAGTAGAGATTCTCAAACTTACAACATGTTTCAGTACCAACCATATAGCAAGATCTCATAACTGCATACACATTAACAATGTGCATAATTACAGGGTGTTATTTTGAGGTACATCGTGTCACAGAGTCCATTTTTTTTCTTTTATTGGACTTCTTAAAATATCCAGTGCTTCTTGTGGTGAAAGTGGTCCCAACTTACTCATATAAACTAATCTACGCATGCTGGAGAAAATAAAAACTAAACCATTTATTTTACTACAGTTGTGTACTTATGAACTGCAGGTTTCATTAAAGCTTCCTCAAAAGCTTTGCGCAAATCATGCTTTGCACAGTATAGGGCAGACATGCCACCAGCTGGACAGTTGTCAAGAGGCAACTGACTATAGAGTAGGATGAATAAAATATAACATTTGCCATTGAAGTGCCACTCACTACCAATTGAACTATTGGCAACAACAACAGATCTAGAATTGAGGGGCCTATTCTGGACCTATCTATTCCAGACGTAGGTGTGCACCCATGGGATTTGAATGCTGCAAGCCGGGGCGGACATGTCACGGTTCCATACTTCAGTGAAGCAGAGGTGAAAATACTGGGTAAGCAGCAGGCTGTAGTCAGGAATTAGTGCTAGAAGAGAAAAGGTTTCAGGAACAGAATGAACCTTCGGATTCTTCAGATTCAAGATGCAAGATCTTGAGTTCACAAGACTTTTTCACTGACTGATGGGCAGCAACCAAAAGTAGGTGCCAATTTTCTGCATGATCAGAAATAACGGAAAACATTGCCTAAACCCAGTAGCCTGTAGGGATCCAGCTTCCTTTCTGTGTGTGGAAGAGAAACAAGGAAATGTATGCCTCAACAAAATTACACCCCACCCCCTCCCAACACACACACACAGCCTACCAAAACTCCCTTTCTGGGGTAGTTACAGTTTGTCTTGCGTGCTGGAAACTTGCAAGATTAGACTCAGAGGAAAAGGGTGGGAGTTATAGATTGTTTGACAGATTTCTTTTTTGATTGGGAGAGGAAAGTTTCCATCTCTTCCTGAGCAGTGACTTTGTTAATTGCAGACACCAGGGAGATGGATGAAAGACAAATCTAAATTATGGTTCTAGTGACATCATTGTCTCCCACTGCCACGCTCCTTGTCCTACCAAAGGCAATAATATGGCCTCCACTGCTTCCTCCATATAAGCAGTGCACTTGACTGGAGAGGAGGGGTGCACATTCTCCTGGGTCCCTGCCCTTCTCCCCCCAGCTTAGCTCACCTTTGCATCTTTCCTTCCTCGGAGCAGGAGAAGGAAGGGAGGCAGCTGATTCCACCACCCCCTTACCGGCGCTCCACTTGGGCACATAGGCTGCAGCATTCTTGTTTTGCACAGGCAGGGAATAGTCTCTCTCTGCCAGAGCCAGCCAACCCTGACATGGCATCTATTGGGGCCAGCCAGAACCACAGTCCAACCCTAGTAGTTGAGCGCTATCAACAGTGGCATCTAGCAGCAGCAGTAGCATCTATAGCTCAGCCAGAAACTGGGAGCTGCCCGGACAAACAAAACATGTAAATGACACCTTGCCTGGTGCATGCCTGTGCCCCCTCAGGGAGGTGGGCCCCACAGGTTGAGAACCTCTGTCCTGCTCCCTTCAAGGGGACCAAGAGACACCCACCGTTCCTTGAGCATTTTGATCTTTATCAAATATATACAAAGGAAGAGGCAGATGTTGTTACTAGAAACATTCTCCAGCCTCCATGTTGTTTGCCTGATCTCTGTTCTGAACAAGCAGGAGCTACTTCACTCTAAGGTGGGAACTGCCAGTCTTTAGTTGGCAGAAGCCTAGGGTGACCATACGTCCTGTTTTGGCCAGCAAAGGTGGATGACCAGATGTCCTGATTTTATAGGGACAGTCCCGATATTTGGGGCTCTCTCTTATATAGGCACCTCTTACCCACATACACACACACTCTGTCCCCGTTTTTCACCCTTGCTATCTGGGCACCCTAAGGAAAGGTTCCTTTTTTAAGCCCTGTTCCAGCCGTCCGAACTTCTTTTGGCAAAAGTGGGCATTTGTCCCATTTGCTCTTGCCAAATTGATCAGTTAGCAAGAGCAAACAGGACAAATGTCCACTTTTGTCAAAAAGGTGGGATTAGGAGGAATGTGGGGGGGACAAGCGGCGATGCCAGCCCTATGCAGGAGGGGAGGCAGGCAGGGCTTGAGAGAGCAGCAACACCAATCCCAGCCTCGCATGGGGGGCGAGCAGCGACGACAGCCCCAGCCTTGTGCAGGGAGAGGGAGAGGGGGGAGGCCTCGGGCGAGCAGCTCAGGCCAGCCCCACGCGTGGATGGGGAGAGGGCTAGCCTCACATGGTGCCCCATTTTCCCTTTGGGAAATATGGTCACCCTACGGAAACCCCAAAATGTCCAAGATGGTGTCCTAGCAAAACGCTGTGTGTGTTTGTAGGGGGTCCACACCAGGGCCAGCTTTAGGACCTGCGGGGCCCGATTCAAGTACCTGGCGGTGGTCCAGGTCTTTGGCGGCACTTTGGGGGCAGGGGGTCCGCTCCGTGTCTTCCGTGGCACTGAAGGACCCCCCGACGCCAAAATGCCGCCGAAGACCCCGGAGGACCTTCCCCCCCGACACCGGAGCGGACCGCTGCCGGATAAGCCTAAGGCATGGGGCCCTCTTACCTGATTCCAGGGAATCGGCCTAAAGCCGGCCCTGGTCCACACAATCATTACCCTGAGGTAAAGCAGCAGTGAGCATGTGCCAAGTTAATAGCTACTGAGCATGTGCAGGATGAGGTGAGAGGGGGGTAGACCAGCTGGCTGGACACAGCCCACTCAGACCGGTTACAGCTAGTTCTAAAGGTCAGAGCTGTCAATCATCGCTCTGAGCTACTGGTTGGTACTGAGCATATGTGAATGAGATAATTGCTGCTAAGAACAAAAAGACATAGGGAAGGAGCCTTAGTGCAGCATAAAAAACTGGCTGCCAGGAAGTAGATTTGGATTTGGAGCGAGCGAGCGCAGTTGGGGGGAGGCGGAGGGAGAAATTGGAAGCCAGCAAAAATATCTGCTGAAAGAGCTGCCAGAGGGAGAGATCACAGGGGCTGACCAAGAGGGCAGAAGAACAGCTTGGAAAGACAGTTGAAGGAGGCTGAGACAGCAGCAGTAAACAGCAGCAGCAGCATTAATAACACAATAACTAATGCATGAAAGGACAGAGTAAGGAAAGCTGCTGTGACCAGGGCAGAGAAACAGGAAGCACCTGCAATTTAAAGGGATACTTTATAAATCTGTTGGTAAGCCTGCTATTTTTAATTATAGTACAGTGTGGAATAGTATATGGGATGTGTGTGTTTATGTGCTTATAAGAATGCATAAAATTCTGTTATTAATTGCAATTGACATGTGTAACCTTTAAAGCAAATACAAGAACTGTTGTCAGCAATTTGTTGCAAACTGGCCATTTAAAAAATATGCCATTATAGTTTGAATGCTCTTTAAACTTGCACTAGGAGATTTGTGCCTTGTTTAGGATTTTTAGAACCTACTGTATGAGAGATTACTAGCTTCATTAATAAAAGGATACTCTGTTTTGGAAAAGAATACAGCCTGTGTCAATTACTTGATTAGAATGTTATATCCCTGTCCTTTAGTGTTTTCCTTAACAACTCTGGTTACCCTGGAAACATTGCCCCAGCACAAGGGGGCAATAGGCAGGTTTTTCCAGAAACACGCAAGAATCCATTTTTTGGGGATAACAAAATGAGTCAATATGGAAGGCTGTAGAAGGGCTGTAAGTTCCTCATTTACACAGCTCCAAAGGCCCTAACATCATGACACTTCTCTCTTTCGCTGCCTCACTTGGAGTATTAGGTGCTAGGGCCCTGCACGCAGGTGTAGGTATTGCAGATTCGCCGTCAGGAACTAGAGAGGGGTGCAGAGGGGTCCACCAGGGAGACACTACCCTTCTCCTTCAACCCAGGAGGAAGATTAGACTGAGCTTGTGTTTTGCTGTTCTTAAGCAGTAAAGGGTGTGTGTGTGTGTGTCTGTGTGTGTGTGTGCACGCAAAATTCATATGAGGTCAGAGAGGGATTTATATGTGTGGGTTTAGAAATAGCCCTGGCAGAAAATGCTTCAACATGAGCTCCTGTTTCCCTGTTCTCTCAGAATATAGATGATCCAAACCTGGATGTGGCTAGAATGGGCTAACGACAGTGCATTATTAATCAGTTCTTATTACTCAAATATTCTCCAGTTTGGCTAACTGTATTTGCTGTATTTTAAGTTAACTGTCTGTACTAAAATGCTCTTCTGGCATACTTTTGTTCCCTGTGCCACTTTGGAACTAAGTGCTCTGAGCGGTTTTATTAATAAAGCTGTTTGCTGCCCAGCGTGGGCACTTGGAGGTGGGCTCAGAAGAGGTTTTCTGCAGTCTAGTGTTCTTCTGTTGAGGGGGTTGTATTATGTGTATCATTTTGGCCCCTGAGCTGCCTCGAAGCCAAGTGTTCTGGGTCCTTTTTAAAGGTGCTGGGCTGATCGGGGCTAGTAACAGTGCATTGTTAGTGAGTTCTCATTACTGAAATATTGTTCTTAGGTGTCGGTAACATGGTCCAGTGTGGGGTTGTTGTTGTTTTTTCCCCAATAATTGCATTTATTAAAATGTCATTCTGGCTTTTACACCATGCCAGTAATTGCACAGGAGAGGTCCAACTCTTCTAGCTAAGGATGAGAACAGCTTCCTGTCTGAAAGTCAATGATTCTATGTGCTCTAAAATCCTCATGCTGATGCATTTTGGTTTGAAATGTGGTGTGCCCCAGAAGAGGGAGCAGATTTCGAGATCTGAGGCTGCAGGGACCATCTCTGCACTAAGAGCAGCAGCTCTGGAATTCACCGAGATGGGGTGAGGAGGGGCAGTTTGTGCAGAGTCCAGATTTCTCCTGCCAGTCCTCTGCAACACACAAATCCCTATGCGCCCTCCTCAGTCTGCCTCCCCACTGCCCACGCATCTCCCTGTCTAACCCTTGGTCTGCTCCCATCCCCACACAAAGGCATCCCCCTGTGACCTCCTTCCTCTGTCTCCTGCCCTCCCGACATCCCTGTGTCCAATCTTTGGCCTACCTCCTGCCCTCACCCCTCTAGTCTCCCTGCACCTTACTAAGTCTACTTCCTAGCTGCTGTCGCAGATCCACAGGATAGGTGCTACACCCCTAGCTTTTAAACAGTCCCTGGGAGCAGTGGTACACAGACCCTCAACCAGGGGTACACATATCCCTGGGTGTACGCAGAGGCCTTCCAAGAGGTACTCAACTCATCCAGATCAGTGTTTTTCAACCTGGTGGTTGCAACCTCCATGGGGGTCACAGAACGGTTTTAGGATGGTCACAAGTGTAGGGCTGGTGTTAGGGGATGGCAAGCAGGGCAATTGCCCAGAGTTCCCATGCCATGGGGGCCCCTTGCGAAGCTCAGTTACATGCTTCACCCCTGGGCAGTGGGGCTTGGGCTTCAGACAAGGCTCAAGTGAAAAACAGGCTCAAGTATCACACTGAGAAGTAAGTACAATATTAATTCTTACATAAATGGATGGGAATATAATGTGGTACAAATGAGAACGTCTGCATTTTTTCAGTAACAGTGTACTGGGACACTGGGATTTTTCTGTCTGATTTTATAAGCAAGGAGTTTTAAAGTGAGGTGAAACTCGAGGTACATAAAGCAAATCAGATTCTTGAAAGGGGTAGAGTAGTCTGGAAAGGTTTAAAGCCACTGCCTTGCAGGATCTCCTTCAGTGGGCCAGACCACCAAGAGGTCCCGCTCTTCTGCAAAGGGAGGCTACGTGGCCTCACTGAGCGCTAGAGTCATCCCCTGGGCTCCAACCCTGCTGCTTCATCCTGTGAGCTCTGCCCAGTGAGCCCGACTCCTGGGCAGAGACCTGTGCACACTACAGGGCCCAAGGCATCTCAGTCAGGATTTGCAATGACACCCGGCAGCCTTTTCCAAACAAAGTAGGGTTTATTAGTCCACTGGGACCCAGCACGGGGAAGCCCTGAGATGAGCAGATAAGCAAAGGTTAAGCCATAGCCCATCCTGGCCAAGCCAGTGCAATCAGCCAGCCAAGCTGTGATGGATTCCATTACCGGCCCTGTCTCTTTGGGTGTGTCCACACAGCAACTAGACAGCTGCAGCTGGCCCATGCCAGCGGAGTCAGGTTCGCGGTGCTCGGGCTGTGGGGCTGTTTCATTGCGGTGTAGACATCTGGGTTGGACCTGGGCTCCAAGACCCTGTGAGGTGGGAGGGTCCCAAAGCTGGACTCCAACCCAAGCCTGGAAGTCTACACAGCAATGGAACAGCCCCTCAGCCAAAGCCCTGTGAGCCTAAATTGGCTGGCACAGGCCAGCAGCGGCGTTCTCTTTGCTGTGTAGACATACTCTCTGTCAGTCCAAGGCGAGAGCTCTGCCTCTGTCCAGAGGGCAGCATCTAACTCTGGCACCTTTCCCATTTGTTCTCTAACTGGGGCCTCAGCTTTGCTCAACTTCCCAACCCAGCCGTGGGGGAAATCTCCTTCCTCTGGGCGGTTGGTTGCCGGGGTGAATGTCCCAACCATTGGGGCTCCCACTGTCTTTTCAGATTCTCCATTGATATGGGGGTCAGTTTCCAGCCAGTCCTTTAATGACCCAGTCATTCTGCCCTAGACAGCAAGGTGACAGCCCCCTCCCAGCCCCGTATGTCTTCTCTGCTGCTCCAAGAGCAGCGTTAACCCTCCTGCACCCACTAGGTAGCAATGTAAAGCAGAGATGGAAATTGAGGCACGCACATGGGAGTCATGAAAATATTACAGAAAATTCCCACTTTGTCATGCCTCCCCCATGCATGTCCCTCAGTGTCCTCCTCAGCCTGACACTCCTGCACTGTCCTTGGTTAACCTCCTCCCCCCCAACATCCACCTGTGCCTTTTTCATTCTACCTCACATATCCCCTCTTTCCGCCTCAGACTCACTTTGACCCCCAAACACAGACTCATCCCCCGAATCCCTCCTTAGCTACTGCCACCATGCATTACCATGCACCTTCCGCTGCATTCCATCCCTCCCCACACATGTCCCCTATGTCTTCCTCACTGTGCACCCCCACATCCCTAAACACCTCCTGTCCACCTGCTCCTTCATTCCACTGCTTCTTCCTCTAGCTCCCCATTTTCCCATTGTTCATCGTAGCTACATCCCAGTCTGCTAACCCCCAAGCAGAGTCTAGCCTCAGCCTACTAGAGCTACTATAAGATGGGTGCAAATTGGTTGGAAAACTATTCTCAGAGAGTAGTTATCAGTGGTTCACAGTCATGCTGGAAGGGCATATCAAGTGGGGTCTCTCAGAGTTCAGTTCTGGGTCTGCTTCTGTTCAATATCTTCATCAACGATTTAGATAACGGCATAGAAAGTACACTTCTAAAGTTTGCGGACGATACCAAGCTGGAAAGGGTTGCAAGTGTTTTGGAGGATAGGATTAAAATTCAGAATGATCTAGACAAACTGGAGAAATGATCTGAAGTAAATAGGATGAAATTCAATAAGGACCAATGCAAAGTACTCCAATTAGGAAGGAACACTAAGTTGCACACATACAAAGCGGGAAATGACTGCCTAGGAAGGAGTACTGTGGAAAGGTATCTAGGGGCCATAGTGGGCCACAAGCTAAAGATGATTCAACAGTGTAACATTGTTGCAAAAAAAGCAAACATCATTCTGTATTTGCAGGTGTGTTGTAAGGAAGACATGAGAAGTAATTCTTCCGCACTACTCCATGCTGATTAGGCCTCAACTGGAGTATCCTGTCCAGTTCTAGGTGCCAGATTTCAGGAAAGATGTGGACAAATTGGGGAAAGTCCAGAGAAGAGCAACAAAAACGATGAAAGGTCTAGAAATCATGACCTATGAGGGAAGACTGAAAACACTGGATTTGTTTAGTCTGAAGAAGAGACAACTCAGAGGGGACATAACACTTTTCAAGTACATAAAAGGTTGTTACAAGGAGGAGGGAGAAAAATTGTTTTCATTAACCACTTAGAATAGGACAAGAAGCAATGGGCTTAAATTGTAGCAAGGGAGGTTTAGGTTGGACATTAGGAAAAACGTCCTAACTCTCAGGGTGGCTAAACAATAGAATAAATTGCCTAGGGATGTTGTGGAATCTCCATCATTGGAGAATTTTATGAGCAGGTTAGACAAACACCTGTCAGGGATGATCTAGGTAATACTTAATCTGGGTGCAGGGAAATGGACCTTGCGAGGCCCCCTCTAGTCCTACGATTCTGTGATGCTATGAAAACAATGGTAGCTGGTGGCCACCTTCACTAGGGACAGCCTGCCTTCCACATGCCAAAGGATAGGGCAATGGTGGCCATCTTGAGTAAGACATTTTAGCTTCAGGCCCTCCCCTCCAATGGGAGAAGGTGCTTATTTCGAAAAAGGGAAAATGTGCGATTTCACTGCCAGGAATGGTGCGATCATGAGAAATTTTTCAAATCCTAGATAAACACTGTGAGATCCATGATAAAATCAGTAGCTCTGGGCATTGTGGTTGCACCACAGTAACAGCATGCTTATCGTCTAACCTTTCAGAAATTTCCCCTCTCCCCCAGGAATGTTCCTGCTCTCTGTGGCCGAGGGGGATGTTCCCAGATCTTTCTGTGACTGAGCCTGGGGGGGCTGTGGCTGGAACAGCAGGTTCTGAGCGGGGGACTCTTGTTGTTAATACAGGTGACCGTGACCTTCGAGGAGGTGGCTGTGTATTTCACTGAGGGGGAATGGGCACTGTTGGATCTGGCTCAGAGAGCCCTGTACAGGGACATCATGCTGGAGAATTACAGGAATGTGACCTCGTTGGGTAAGGATTCCTATGCCCTCAGTCTTAGAAACTGCGCATCTTTGAAGTGCCCAGGTTGGCTTTTGCTCAGGATTCTTCCCTGATCGCTTAGATTTCAGGGGGATCAACCCCATAGTCACAGGCTCAGCAGGGTTAGGCAGGTGTAAAGAGTTTGCACAGTGGCACTGTGCCAGAGTCATAAAATCCCCCAGTGCATGGAGATCCCTGAATCCCTTTCTGCCCTCCCCAAAGGGTCTCCAGGAACACTTCCCATCCCTTTGGTATATACAAGGGCATCCACCCACCCAGCACATCTGGAAACAGCTGTCTCAGAACAACTGTAAAACTCTGATCTCACTTCATTTCTTTTCCCGGAGCAGGTTTTCCAATTCCCAAGCCCAGCGTGATCTCCCAGCTGGACCAAGGAGAAGAGCCGTGGGTCCCTGATCTCCAGGGGTCCCAGGCTAGAAAGATCCAGAGAAACATCCCCAGAGGTGAGAGATTGGTTAAACGGATGTGGAAACCATCCCTCATTGACTTAAAGTGCTGGGATTCCCACGCAGGCCCCTTGAGCTCCTCCAGTTCTAACTCATTGCCCCGGGTCAGGATTGTGCCCAGCAGGTGTCATGACTTCCTGGCAGACATAATTCATGGCTTTCCACGCATCCTAACTGACACCTGGCAGTAGCTCCCTGCCCCCTGACTGTTCAGGTGGATGTGGAGGAAGAATTGGGTGTTCTCCTTCCAGGCGTGTTGAGTGCTCAGTGATCTGTAGCCAGAGAGCTTTCCCTGGTGTTATCTGTCAGTTTGCCATGCATTTCCTCGTGTATCCACCCCAGCACCCTCACAGCTCCTTCTCACCACCGGTGTCTGGTGGTCAGAGTTCTCCATCGGCTGCTGTTCACAGGTTCCCTTTTTTTCTTCTGAGAAAACTTTTTCTCCATATAAATAGTTCTGGTAGCTTATTTTTTAGCCATGTTTTTCCCACTGGAGATTTGTTTATTTGTTATTTTATGAAGCTTTTGTTCTTGTTTTTCTCTGAGGCTCTTTTACCTGGTACCGGGTGGCTTGGTTATGCCAAAGTCTCCTGGAGTTCAGCACTTGTCTCACTTGCAGGGTGTCTAATCCACTGAACGATCCTCACACTCATTGTTTATTTTGCCTCACTGAGGGGCACATGAGAGACAAGTGCTCTATTTGTAGATCTTTCAAGAGGAGAACACAAAAATCTAGGGACATGAGAGTAAAATATTACCATATGGAGCATGCTTGCATCCCTTCTCAGACCTCAGTCATCTGGAGTCCAATGCTTTGTCCTACGGCAGGAGTTCTCCTATGGATTTTTCTGACTCACCTCATGGCTTGAAGTCAGAGACAGACACAAGAGAAGAGGAATTGTTCCCCTTCTCCCACCATGTGTTGTAAGAACTGTAAGTCAGTCTCAGGGTAAGACTTGACTTATAAATCAAAGAGCTTTTTCTTCTTCAGAACCAGACTCTGGGAACTGAAAAACCTCAGCAGAGTCCTCATTGGAACAGTCAGGTTACAGCACAAGTAGAGACTAGCTGCTCCCCAGTATCGACAGTGAAATCAGGGCAGGAAATCAAGCCATTGACTCCAGGACCAGTGCAGGTATCCTCAAGAATGGCTCTGACAGTTTATTAGAGTCACAAACTTCTGCCAAAATATTATTGAGATGTCATGAGATTTGCTCTGTCTGTCAGTCCCGAATTCCCCTTGGCTGCAACAAGACCCAACTCTGACTACTCATAGGGTACAACCTTTATTACAGCCAAAGCTGCCCTCAGCACTGGCTAGAATGTCTGTAGGACCGATACCATCAGTCATGGTGTCCTCTGTACCTTTGAAGCCTCCGGTATCGGTTTCTTGTACACAGATGGTTCCTACGGGACTCAAGACATCAGTATTGACATTTAAACCTTCTGCCAACAGGCACAGATCCAGAAGCGCTACACTTGTGATTCCTCCTACTATCATACCACTGATGGCAACCAACTGCCCATATTCATTATCAGATTCAGAAGAAGAACCCTATACTTCTTACTGTAAAGGGAGATCTAGATTCTCTCCATTACATTCTTCAGTGACAAAATAGAGCATTCAGTGGAGATGATACCACAATGGTAGATCTAGACATAGATTTCCATGATCTTGCAGATGAACCCTGTGTCATACAGGTACATGCAATAGCTGGACTAGAACCCATGCAGCATCCCTCCAACTTCTAGGCTGGCTTCTCCAGACTGTTTTCCAAGAAATTTTGTGTGGGTGGGAATTAAATTCGGGGTCAGACTCACGTTATACCTCAAACTAGCTGTGCTGTAAAGACACGCTCTGTAGATACGTTTAGTTATTTCTTTCATAAGTCTTTTCTCAAGTTACAAAGCCAACACCCCCTGAGCTTAAAATTTAGTATTGTCTCTTCCAGGGATTCTCCCTTTGAGCTGATGGCTTTTTGTCCTTTTCAGTATTTATCCTAGGGTGGCAACTCTTGTGCTCCCGGAATATGGCACACTCTGGTACTTTCCAAAACATCATGAGCCTGTCCCTGCTGACATGACCCCATGCCCACCAGAGTGACTTTTCATGCCTGGTGTGTGTGAGCTCACACCACATGGGGAGTGGAATTTTTAAGAGCCCCCCTCCCTCCGCACCAGCGTGACCTTATGTCTAGGATCACGCTGTCAGGGTAGGACTGGCATCCCCCATCTGATACTGGACAAAACCAATTTTGTCTGAATACCGGATGCGAACACACCCGAGAAAAACAGGACAGTTCGGACGCCATATGTCAGGTTCTTAGCAACACTGGTGAGTTTGCTGGCTTGGAAAGTCCCTCTGGAACACATCCAAAGCCTAGATGGGTTTATCAATCCTTTGTCCAAAGCTTTAGTTTGTAGAGAAGTTACTCCAAAGGTGAGGAGCAGGATTGAAGACAATATGGAGGTGATGCTGCTGCCTTTTTCTATTCTCTGCCATGTGGCTTGTACATCTTTTGTCCCAAACACAAGCTCACAGCACATGGGCATGGAAAGGTACTTAGAGTCCCCTGTCTATAGGCATGTCCCTACATGTTCTGCTGACTCATAGGCATAGCCCCTGGCTTCTCTAAATGGGTTCATTGTACAGCTGATTGCCCTTGATAGGCCAGTAAGCAGGCTGGATAGTGCTGATGCCAATCTGTCTGGGGGTCACCTAGAAACACAGCACAAGTTTGAGCTAGCACTATACCACACATATTTATAACTCATGATCCAAAGATGGTACATACATATAAACAAGCTTATCATATTTAGCAAATCATAACTTTTTCACTGATACTTTATGACATATATGATTCACTGCAATTTTGTAATATTAATATCGATAATATTATAAATGGTCACCCATATTCCATACAGCATCACACTGGTTGTTTTCCAGAATGTGTTGCACATGTCTATTCCACCACCCATCCTCTTCTCTTCTGCTTCAGAGTCCATTACGTTAGGATGCTGGTGCAAATGAGCTGAGATGTTGCCCGGGGCAGATCTGCCCTTCATGCCCTCAGCTGGATGCATGAAGGCATGCATGGCACATGTACCACTACAGAAAACTCTCCCACTACAGTGTCATGCACATCCCTAAAGCGGAATAGATGTGAAGTGGAATAGACTTGTGCAACATCTTGAAAACAGCAAATACAGTAAAGGTTGGTAGCCGATTTTTCCCTTCTCTCTTTCTTCCGGGGAATGGTTTGTGCAGGATTCAACACCTGATTTGACTGTCTTTCCAGCAGTTATTTTGGTTTGTTTCCCCACTTTCCTGTTCCCCTTTTCTCACCTTCCCTTTCCCCAGGCACAGGGACTGACTCCTGTCTGGATTCTCTCTCTGTCTCAGCAGGTGATGAGACGGTGAGTGAGAGCAATGAAGAGAGTCCTTGTCCGGCCGGTCCTGAGCAAATGGAACTGAAGGGGACGTTGCTGGGAAGATGTGAAGGGGATGATTCCCAGATTCCTGGGCAAGGACAAGCCCAAGAAACTCAGTGCAGGCCAGAGAAGCAGCAGGGAACCCCTCCAGGAAAGATACTGGGTGAATCCACTTGCCGAGGGGGAGGTTTGGAAGAATCTAATAAAGTCACGATCCAGCCAAGAACCTGCACTAAAGAGAAGCATTTCGAATGTGCTGAGTGCAGGAAACGCTTTAGTTGTAAAGAACACCTTGTTAGACATCTGAGAGTCCACACTGGAGAGACCCCGTATCACTGCCCCGAGTGTGGGAAACAATTCAGTGACCAATCAATCCTTATTAGACATCAGCGAACCCATACAGGAGAGAGACCCTATAAGTGCACTGACTGCGGGAAAAGCTTCAGTCAGAGGTCAGGCCTTATTACACATCAGACAGTCCACACAGGAGAGAAATGCCATAAATGTCCTGACTGTGGACAAACCTTCACTCAGAGAGGGCATGTTACTAGACATCGGAGGACTCACACGGGTGAGAGACCCTATGGATGCCCAGAGTGTGGAAAAAAGTTCGCTTCCACCTCTGACCTTATTATACATCAGAGAATCCACACAGGAGAGAAACCCTATAACTGCCCCGACTGTGGGAAAAGCTTCAGTCACAGCCATCACCTTACTGACCATCAGAGAATCCACACAGGAGAGAGACCCTATACCTGCCCCGACTGCGGGGAAAGCTTCAAAAGTAAATCTGGCTTCAAAGTCCATCGGAGAAGGCACACGGGAGAGTGCCCCTATCAATGTTCCGTCTGTGGGGAAAGGTACAAAACTAGGAACTCTCTAACATGCCACATGAAACACCACACAGAATAGTGCCAGACACTTCCCCTCCTCTCTCTGCATCTGTAGAGATAGGAAGAACCATGAGGATAATAAACAGTTGCCCAATGCCCTAGGAAGTCAAGTGGCACCACTATTTACTTGTGTGCTGTGTATCTCAGGAGGACGGAGGCACCAGGAGAGTGACATTATTATTATTACTGTCTTGCATTATTCTCTGACACTCTCCCATCCCATCCCAGCTCCCTCTGTCATGAGGAGGCTTCTACTGAGCCAAAGGGTTTACCTGGATTTCCTAGTCCCTGTTTTTAGGCAGGGACTTAGTTCACATTGTTGCACACAGGGATTATTCTGTAAATTGCTGCCCTGGGAGGCATTTTCTCCCTGTTTCTGCATGGTGGGGAGAGCAGGGGTCTGAAATTTCTGGATAGTTGGGTGTCAGTGGATTGTTTATTGTTCATTGAATTATTTTCTGGGTATTGCTCAATTATGTGTTTTTCCCCCAACTAAGATGTAAATAAAACTTTTCTGGCAAATCTCATTTTCCTGAGCAGCCTGGGAATTTCATTGATTCTTGAGCTCTGGGAGGGAGAGGGGCCAAGTGTCCCAGACTGGGTGAGTTGTCTCCCTCTGCAGGAATCACTCATTTCCCCCATATTCAGCCCTTTCCCTCATGTCTTGGCCCATCCAGCTTTGGAAGCTGGAGCATAGCCACATCTGTGTCTTTGCTCTTGCAGCTTTGACGGCCTCTGGGCTCTATCCTTGGGTCTTCCCTTCCCCTCTACAAGGGGTTTAATTGGGCAGGAGAGAAACATCCTTAGAGGCAGAATAGATGGACATTTCCAGATGGGGAGCAGCTCGTCTCCTTCTCCCCAGCAGCATCTCCAGCATCTGTCCCATCTGTTCTGCCCCAGCTCAGTGAGGAATCCAGTGACTCTTGGGCAGAACTGTGACATTTCTCATGGGCATAGAGCAACTGCATGGCTCTGAGAGCCCCTCGCCAACTCCATCCCAGGTGTTCTCTTTCCATCGGATGCCTGGATCCTACTCCCACTTTCCTGCATTTTTTTGTGATTCTGTAGTTCCCTGGTGTGGTGCCTGCATCTCTGACTTGGGGAGAACCCCTGTTTCCCCAACGCTCTGCTGTTCCATTCTCTCTCCTCCCTCTCAGTTCCATTGCACCCTGGAGCCATCCAACCCCTGCCCTAGGGCTCTGATCACAACCCCAGCCTTGGACCTGTGTGGAGAGTAGTGAACAAATGCAGCCACCAGCCAGAACATCCCATGAGTTTGTTACTGACTGAAACAACCAGCCCAGGTGTCTCCATTCAGGTGTTCATGACAGTCCTGGGTTATTGTCTGAGCTGGAGGGAAACAGAGCAGCCCTGTGGCTGTGTTCCAGAGGGACTTTCCATGGGCAGCACGAGTGACTGAGGGAGACAGACAAGAAGCCATGAGTGGGAGCGATTGACCCTGGAGTTTGCCATGTGACAAAGCAGCAGCAAAGGCCAGTGTGATTCTCAGGGCTGTGTAGGCAAAGGTGTCTGGGGCAGGGAGGGGAGAGTCACTCTCTGCAGAGCCCTGGGGATACCTACCTGGGAGCCTGGACCCAGCCTGGCTGGGAGCCTGGACCCAGCCTGGCTGCCCAGGGCCATGAACTGCAGGGGTCCTGATATTCCTGTTTCATGGCTCTCATTCTGGGGGGATTTCTTAAGGACAAAGGACTGTGCCCAAAGATCTCCTTGGAGGGGGAAGTTACATGTCTTGGCTTGAGCCTCAGAGGCTCTCGTGTTGGTCTGTAGAGAACCTGGAATCTCCCAGGGGTTTGCCAGATCAAATTGATTAGTGCGGTATCTGTAATTTGCCATGATGCTAAGAAATAAGCACACATTTTAGATGGCCACCAATACAAAAGATAAAATGCACAGATTTGACCCTACTCCCAAATGCAAATTACACTTAGAAAGACCCAATAAAACAATAAAAATACAACTACAAAAATGAATATGTGGATCCATTTAGTTCATAAAGAAAATTAATTTCATCCAGTTATTTTCCCGTTTTTGTCGCTGACCCGGTAAATAGAGCAACTACCTGTATCACTGAAATGGTGTCACTGCATCCCCAATATTCTTTTTGAGCCAATGAGGCAAAAGGCATCTGTACCAAGGCTCGAGAGAGTCACTTATTTCCCTCCAGCAAAATGAAAATTAGAAAATAATAAGTAACACGGCATTATCTTTACCCTCGCCAGACATGCTTAGGCATAAATGGTTGAACCTCTTCAGTACCAGTGTACTCTGCCTTCTGAGTGAGCCGACAGCATTGTTTGGAGACTTAGATCTGTAATTGCCCTTCTTAGGTTATTACTCTTCAACAGTTCCAAATATTTCACTGATGGGACCATTTCAAAGCGCTGTTCTTGATTTGTTTTTTAGGGAACTTTTTCATAGGTTTTATGCTACAATCTAATATTTTTTAATAAAAACAGAGTTTTAAACATAGCTTTACTTTTTCTTTACAATGAAATATAGTTAGACCCCATTTCTACTTTGTATGAAAGGAAGTGATGAACTAATTGTATTTTCGCAAGTAGACTTATATTGCAAAGGTCTGGAATTGGTGGTAACCTGTTAACTGCAACTGTTTCATCTAATTTTAAACACTGTATGATTAACACACAGCATAGAGCTACAAAAGTTTCATACCATTTTATTGGCACATATTTAGTTTAATAAAATATTTTTTCCCCTTGCAGTTCAAAAAACTTCTCTAGGGCACTAGCAATCAACCAGTTGAACTGGTAAAGAACCATAAAGAATGACTGAAATCTCAATAGCTTAAGAAGAACCATAAAGAATCACAAAAATGCCATCAGCAGCCATTTTTTCTTAGATCTCTAAGGGTGTGTCTACACTTCAGTATAGACTTCTGGGTGACAGCTGAGACCTGGGTTTTAGGACCCTGTGAGGTGGGAGGAGCTTGGAAGTCACACTGCAACTAAATGGCTCCCCAGCCCCAGCCAGAGCCCCACATCTGCCCGAGTCAGCTGGCACAGGCCAGCCACAGCTGTCTAACTGCTGTGCAGACACACCCTTAGATGGCTGATGTCACCTAAGGATATTCCAGTGGATAGCCGGATATTGGGTTGCATGTCTGAGAAGAGTATGTTCTCAATTTGAAAAGGGGGAAGGCAGGGGTTCCCAAAATATGGGCCGCGGCCCACCACTCCTGGGTGGTCCACCAGCGCAACTGCATTCGCCAGTCACATTCTCAGTAAATATTTAACTCCATGTGACTTGTGTAATCTAAGTAAAAGCTACATCAATATAATGATTTGAGCATATATGTTGGTCAGAATATAGAAAAAACTATTTTATTTTATTAAAAAAAAAAAAAGACTGCAATACGTCCGGTGTAATTCTCACTAGTACAACGGTGCATTTCACTGCAAGATGACCTAGCAATGTACACGCAGTCCGCCATTTACAACTCTACTTCAATCTGACAAAGATGGATTTCTTTTCTGAAAATGATAAGGGTGCACTGGTGGAGAACATAATGAAAGTCACGGGCCAGCTACACGAAATGAGCCAGCCAAAAAAATAAAGTAAGTGTTAAGAAAATAGGATGAGACATACTTGAAGTTTGGATTCTCCTTTACTGGGTCAGATGAGAACCTGTTGCTGTTACCCCAAATTGGGCCAGCTAGTAAGCTTAGGGAGGACTAATGACTCACGGGCAGAAAGCAGTACGTTGGTGGGAGGAAGGAGGGGAATGGTTAATTTCCCCTTGTTTTAAATCCAAGGGGTTTGGATTTGTTTTCACCAGGGAATGGGTGAAGGTTTTTCAAGGCTTCCCAGGGAGGGAATCCATTGAAATGGTGGCAGCCGAACCAGAGCTAAGCTGGTAGTTAAGCTTAGAAGTTTTCATGCAGGCCCCTACATTTGTACCCTAAAGTTCAAAGTGGGGATCCAGCCCTGACATGGCTTATTGATAGCTAAGCTCAAAAGAATGGGGGCAGGGGGTCACACTCACACTTGCATACTCATGCTCCCAGGACAGGCACGGCACTGGAGATGTCAGGATCCTTCAAGGTAAGTGTCCCACAGCTCAGCGATGGACAGTACGATGAAGGTAAGTCTTCCCGAGGCATGATGGAATGCAACGCGGCGAACCACTGGCCAGGCAGTCCGGGCGAAGGGCCTTTATGGGAGGTACAAGATTGTGAGCGCACTCCTGAGCACATGGCCCCTTCCCCTTTTAAGGACCTGCTCCTCATGGCCTGCGACTAGAGATGACTTGGCCATGTCTGGTTGGTCACACTCCACCTCGGGCAGTGTCCATGCAGCATCCATGCATTGGGTGTGTGATCGCTGCCTAATTAGAGTCCCAGACACCTTATCTACCTGGGAGTTCTTCTAATCTTCCAGCTGTTCAAGCAGCCCATTCATCCCCTAAGCATTCCAGGAGGGAGGGGGAAAGCCACTTCACAGGTATTCAAAGAGGGAGAGGAGATGTCACAGAGCTTGGGGGGGACACAAGGCCCTGCACTCCCAGCTTCCTGCGATTCACCATAACTCTCAGCCAGCCAGTAAAGCAGAAGGTTTATTTAGATGACAGGAACACAGTCCAAGACAGGTCGTGCAGGCACAGAGAACAGGACCCCCTCAGTTAGATCCATCTTGGAGTCCCAGGGGCACCACAACCCCGTTGGGGGGTCAGAGCCCCGTCCGGGCTCCCCTCCATTACCAGCCAGCTCCTGAAACTCCAACTCCCTCCAGCATCTCTCACCCAGCCTTTGTCCAGTTTCCTGGGCAGAAGTGTCACCTCACCTACAACCCTCTTCCTGGGTTCTCACGTTACATGCTCAGATATCTTCCCTCAAGACCAGTCTCCCATCCCCCAATGCAGACCATCCCAGCCAACCTCCCCACTCAGCATTCAAAGACCACATTAGGAACAGTCCCAGTTCTTCACAGGAGACAAAATGGGGGGGGGGGGGGGGCGGGGGAAGTGTAACAGATCTTTTGAGCATACAGGTTATACACAGCATAGTCATACAGAGCATACAGCTCACTGCTGCTCCTACAAAGGTTGCCTCAGTGTGTTATAAAGGAAAAGAAAACATGTACATAGTTTATTCACAGTGTTGTAGTTTATATGGATGTAATAAATTAATAATTTTCCTCAAGCACTGTTAATTGTTAATACTCGGCCACGGTGCCTACTGCAGCTGCACAGGGGGAATCTCAGGGAAAAAAGTTTGGGAACTCCTGTGTGAAGGGAGTAGACCGCCATGTAGAAGAAATGCATAAGATCATTCGTGGTGAATTTCTTGCAGAGTTTACATCAACATTTATTAAACCATTAGTGGGCAAAATCCTGAACCAGTAACTTCAAGAATAAAAAACATTATTGAATTAAATAGCAAAAATGTCATTATAAGGGAATTCAGCCACCGCTTGGGCACTTCCAGAATGTCAAGTTCAGCAAAACTGAAACTTCTGAAAACCAGGCAATATAGAGTTAAGGTGAATG